TTTGATACAATTTCGCCGCACATATACTTGTTTTGCATCAATCATCTCACTCTCTGATACAAACTCTTTCATTGTCTTATACAATTTCAACTATGGCTCTTCTCACAATGGGCGATTCTCAAAGAGGCACAAGGGACAACATTGCGGCGTTTGTAAGTTTTTTTAAATTCTCAAATATTCTTTTATACTAATATATTTTTTATAATATTATTATTGATTTAGTCATCTTATGAACTCTTACACTTTTTACATTTTGAATTTAGGATACTAAAAGATTTAGAATTCTCTCACACAACTACATTTCTCCCGACCCGTTGATCGTGCCCTATCTCGAATATGCAGGTTTTGGAAATGTTATAAAAATCTCAAACTGCATGATTGATTCAAAGTTTATACTTGCAATGTTGGAAAGATGGAGACCCGAGACACACACATTTCATCTACCAATAGTTGAATGTACCGTCACACTAGAGGACGTGTACATGTTATTGGGTCTCCTTATCGATGGTAAGGCGGTTAACGGGACGGTTCAACATCCTAATTCTCTATGCGAGGAATTGTTGCAAAAATATATGGTTGAATGTGGTGGTGCTAGAGGCTAAGGTATATTACTAACTGAACTCAAAAACATTATGCGACTCTTGAGTTGAACGAAAATTCTTCCGAGCTAGCAAGAGTAATAAAAGCTAGAAATTTTTCCGAGCTTCTTACTCCAAGCTTGGGGTTGGTGGAGAATGGAGTCCCTAAATCCCGTCAACAACAACGCATTCGTTTTTTCATACGCAACAAAGCAAGTCAAGAACTTAAATCGTTTATTATTCATCCGTTCGCCAAATATATGTTTAAAATAAACTATTTTACAATTCCTTTAGGTATTGCGTGACGGGTATGGATTATGGCAAGAATCCAAGATTTAATGTCGCTCTATATCGTAATCTATTGGATCACCTTAGCCCGGATCATGTACGTCGTACCTTTGAACTTTTCTATTTTTAAATTATTTATTACGTTTTCATTATGCTGATTTAATTTTATCTACAGTTTATCTGGAGACCATATTTGAGTTTGGACCATGAATCAAACCCCGAGGATGCAGTAGTTTGGACTACAAAGACTGCAATCATACAGTTCAACGATGTGGAGATGCACCACAACGACCGTGTTAAGATGCAGTTCAAAATACATTAAGAGATACCATGTAATTCAACTTGTTTGTCCCCCTGGCATCTCAAAAGGCTCGACGCCCAATGGGGTATTACTAATTGGAAAGATTTTGCTCCAGAATGGTGTAAGATGTGGCATAGGCGTTACCAACATGTCTTGCAATTCCATGTTTTCCTCAACTGGAATAATATGCAACACACTGATCAATATTTTGCTTGATACAGATCGGTTAGTAACCCATAAATACATGTGTCTCATTTGAGGTATTTGGTTGACCCACGAACATAATGGGCACAAACCTTAAATCTCCAACAACAAACCCAACACACATCAACCTCCCACCAACCACCCCGACGATACAGATCCACAACCACCCAACCACAATCACCACCACAATACGAATACACCCATATGCCCCACACCCAACCACAATCACCACCTCAATACCAATACCCCCATATGCCCCACACCCAACCACAATCTCAATCACAATACCAATACACCCACATGCCCCACACACAATTCCAATCTTCTCCATATCTCAATATGGACCCCTTAACATCTAACCTTAGCCCTGATCTGGGATTTCCCGAAGAATATGACCCAACCGACCCAACTTACCATTAACCACCACATCACCATAACACCCAACAGTCGCAATACCAAACACCATAAGATTCATTTCCTTTTTACCCCACTTACTCAGACGACCAATGCTATGGAACATCCATGGAACTCCACCCACCACCAAGACGACCAAACTTTGAGGGTATGGGTAACCGACTGTACCAAAGCGGATCTTCCAGATATGGTGATCTGACCGATTTTATGGATCCTGAATTCATTGACTTCGCTGGGCCATCGATCCTGCCGCAGTAGGAAATTCGATGAAACCCACTACGAAATAGACGAGGACGCGGATGCAAAACCACGAGTCGTTACCGAGTTCCGGGGGATCACTAATTATTTTGTATGGTTCTTTTTTCCATTATGAAATCGTTTTTTATTAATGAAAAGTCGAAGTTTCGTGAAGCTATATTGTTTACATATTATCTCACATTTAAAATAAAAAGCAACAAAAAATTACATATCTATTGCACTTAGACACCATCTGAGATGGCTTAGGACAACCATTTAGCATCTAGGCGCCATCTCACTCGGCGCCTCCTCCTTAATTTTAGGTGCGTGCGTCAACTCAGTTGACTCCTCTATTGTGGAATTTTCTGAAACATAATTATTTACGTATTTTTTCTCAAAACATATTTTTTTTGTTTTTCAGTGCCTGATTATTGCTATAAAAAAATTCATAATCAGAATTGAAAAAAAAAATTAATTTAAAAAAAATCTTATTCAATTTTTTGTTTTTATTCGTAAAAGTCAATTTGTTAGAACAACGTAACGTCCCAATCCCCAGTGGTTGTCTACTGAAAAGACAGGTAGATCATGCTGGTTACGTGTAACACATCAATTTGATTGTTACGTTGGTTTCTTCAGTTTGATATCACAGTCAAGTTATGTTAACAATAATATTTTTTTGTAAAAAATAAATCATAATTTTTTAAGTAAAATAAAACATTAAACTTTAAAGAAAAAAAATAATGCAGCGATAATGTAATAAATAAATAACGATCATGTATTTTACTAAAATTGACTGTAACTTTGATATTTTTTATATAATATAACAAAATGATATATTTTTATTAAATGATAATTATCCTTGCATCTTCATTAAACATTAGTTTTACTTGATACAAGTCTTATTTTATATTTGACTGAACGAGCAAGCTAATGGTTTCAACGGCAAAACCACTGCAAATTTCTAGTTTTACCCTTTCCTTTTATATTTTCTACCTAAAATATTGAATGTTTTTTAAAGGTGATAAAGTATTCAAATTTTATATATCTAGAAAATAGACATTACATATTTTTAGTAAAAATATTATATCTCATTTTTAAAATCTGATTCTTAAAATTTCCTATTTTGGTAAATGCATCCCTTTCTTAAAATTATAGAGGTATTTATAAAATTTATTAAATTAATAAAAATGTAGAAAATGAGAGATAACGGATAAATTTTACATGTTACTCCTTCTGTCTTTAATAAATATTTTCTTTTCAATTTTTATTTATTTAAAATTATTTGTCTATTTAAAATACTAATATGATATTTAATATTATTTTTTCACTATTTTATTTATATTTATTATATTTTAATTCATATACCTATTATATTATCTATTATTAATAGAGTTATTTTAGTAAATAAGATTTATTTTATTATTGAAATTAATATAATTAATTATATTTTAAAAAATGTGAAAATTTCAAAAAAAGATATCTATTATAAAACGGAGGGGAATATTATGTTACATTAAATTTTTTTTTTTACATAAGTATTACATTAAAGTTAAAATAACAATTTTTAGTTCATTTTAACGTTTTAGCTTAAAAGTAATTAATTAATGAAATTACTTTCAAAATAGAGTTTAATTCTTATTTACTTTACAATGGAGTTTAATTCTATGGTATTAGAAAAAGTGGATCCCACTAAAAAAAGTAAAAGAGATGATATATTAACTAGTAAATCAATGGTTAATAATACAGTATAATTTTGTGGATAAAATTCTGAGTCAACAAAAACTTTTTTAAATTCAACAATTTGTTTAAAATTTTAAAATAAATATATATTATTAAATTAAATCACATAATTTTATTTTAGAATATATGAAAAAAAACTATTACAATTTAGCATCTATTTGGCAAAAAAAAAAGTTGATCAATTAGCTGATAAATTATAATGGTTGATTAATAGTTAATAGCTTATACATGATAGTTTAGTTGATAGTTAAGGATCGACTAATAATTTAATTATGAAGTAAAATAGAAGTTTCAATAGCTTATAAGTATAAAATGAAATTAAAAAAATCATTTAATTAATAACTTAATTATTATATAATTATTAAGTTAATTCTATTAAAAACTATAACAGTAAAAATACACACATAAACAATTTTAAATATATATTTAATTAAAAAAATGTATTCAATGCATATAAGTAAATTTTATCAGACAACACAAAAAAAGTTGAATTGAAAAAGAATGCAGAAAAATAGTCTTCAGATATTCATAATTTTTTATATAAATTTTGATTTTTGCTATTCATTTATTTAAGACATATATATTTATTTTAAATTATAATAAATTATAAAAAATAAACTTTAATTAAAATAATAAAAATAAAAATAAAAGAAAAGATGACAAGTTAAAATTATAAACTCTAAAGCTACTTTAAATGATTTTTGAAAAAAAGTCATAAATTAGTAAAAGAAAAACTACAAACTATAAACCAAAAAACAATTACTATCAAATAAAGTTATTTTATTAATATAATCAAAAAACTATTAAAAAAATAATAATCTTATAGTATCATTCAATAAAAATTTATTATTTAATCATATCATATCATTTAATTAAAAATAAATATATAATTTAACACTTAATAAAATTATAATTGATTGATCCGTGTGAAATTATTTTACACTTTAGTATATATAAAAAGAAATTCATTTTTGACTAGACCAAAAAATTCCATTTTTGAAAAAGAGAAAAATAAATATCTTATTTTAAACTTTTATATTTAAAAGCAATAAATAGGCATTGATTTTACGTAATCTTGTATATATCCTAAGTCACACCTACTCCTACTCCTTTTATGGGTTCTCATCTCACAAACACACACTCTCTCACATAACCAAAAAATAGTGTGTGTTTTGTGTTGTGTTGTGTTGTTGCATTAGTGTGTTTACATCACATTTTCACTTTTTTATTTATGAATGATGGAAAAACACAAGTGCAAATATTGTTATAGAAGTTTCTCCAACGGAAGAGCATTAGGCGGACACATGAGATCACACATGATGAACCTACCAATTCCTCCCAAACCAACCAGGTCACCACCATCACCACCACCACCACCACCACCAACGATTCAACTCAGTTTCGAAGCCGAGTCAGACGCATCTCCTTCATCCTCATCTCTCTATAGCCTAAGAGAGAATCCAAAGAGAAGCTTCATCTTCACAGATCCCAATCAATTCATCGATGCCGGTTCTATAATTCTCCAAGAAAGCAGAGAAAGCGAAACCGAAACTGAGTCGTCGAAAAATCCAACTCGTCCACGATCCAAACGAGTCAAGAAACTCGACACGGCGAAACCGAACGAGTCGGGGCTGAGTTCTTCTTCGGATATAACTACCGAAGAAGACATCGCTTTTTGTCTCATGTTGCTTTCTCGCGACAATAACAACAATTGGAGAACAAAAACACAAACACAAACACAAACACAGACACAAACACAACAACACAATTATCATGATCAAGAACAACAAGAACAACATCATTATTATATCGATGAAGAAGAAGACGAAGACGACGAAGAAGAAGAAATCGAGGAAATCGAAGAAGAAGAAAGTGAAGCTGGATCTGAGGAGGAGGAGGAAGAGAAACCATTAAAGAAAGTACGAGGAAGATACAAATGCGACACGTGTAACAAAGTGTTTCGATCTTATCAAGCACTTGGAGGACACAGAGCGAGTCACAAGAAAACTAAAATACTTGCTGGCGATTCAACTTCACAACATGATGACAAAATTAACATCGAAAACATTAATGTTAATATTAATGTTAATGTTGAAAAGAAAATTCATGAATGTCCTGTTTGTTTTAGAGAATTTTCTTCAGGTCAAGCACTGGGTGGACATAAGAGAACACATGGTATTGGAACATCATCAGCAGCAGCATCAACATCAACAGCAACAATAGCAGCAGCGGTTACAGCAGCAACAAACGTCGAGGTTGTTGTTCGAAGTTCTGTGAAATTCGGAGATAGTTTGTTAGATCTAAATCTTCCTGCTCCTATGGATGATCCTGATGGTGAGGGTGGTTCTGCAGTTTCCGATGCATAATTTGATAAACTTCAATAAGGTTGAAAAACAATTTTTATTTTTTTGAAGTTAAGTTTTTGGTGGTTAAGTTATGAACTTATGATGATCCAAAGGTACACAATTTTGGTTCTGTTTTTTGTTTTTTAGTTCATTAGAAAATTATAGATTTGCTTATTTGTTAGCAAATTGGGTTATATGGTTACTTTATAGTTCATACTTTTTTATTTTAATAATGATTTTATACTATGTTATAATAATAATAATTCTTCTTCTTCTTCTTCTTTGATTCTAACTATAATTCAGTTTGTTTTTTGGGATCATTATGTTTAATTTATTGATGCTTGATATTAGAAGTAGAGTTTTATAGAATACATTGAACTTTTTATATTTATTTTGTTATTGATATTTGAATTTTGAACTTATTTTTAAAAGAAAAAAAAATGATAATAGAGAGTTTTTTTAAAAGATTACTTGGTATATGTATAATTATTATTTAAAATGTAATTAAAAATATCTTTAGAATTGAAGGTTCCGATTAACTAACAATATAAATATTTTTATATTATCCGTTCATAGTAATTAAAAAAAATTTAATCAATTTTTAAAAGAATTTTTTATTTATTTTTTTTTCTTTTTTTCTTTCTATTTTATATAATACGAATATTCATAATCTTCATCGATTCAGATATTTAGATAAAGAAATATTTCATAGGTAGTTATATTATTGATAGGAAAATCTATTTGTTTTGTGATATTTATAAAGAGTTTGTTTTATAAAGAGTTTGTTTTATAGATTTAAAAAAATCTATTATTCCTTTTTAAAAAAATATGATTTGTGTTTCAAAATAAAAGAAATAGTTTCAAAATTTTCATTTATAAATTAAAAAATTAATTTTAATATCTAATAACATAAATTTACATTATTAATAATTAAAATATTGTTAAAATTATATAATTTTAAAAAAATCTTAAAAATAATTTTGAAAAAAAGTTATTTAAATAGATTCACATTTAAGTGATTTTTTATGTTAAAATATTTTAAAATAAAATAATAACAACAAAAGTGAAGTACTTGAAATAATATTTTATAAAAAATTATTTAAATTAATTTTTAATCTAAACTTTATTTTGAAAAAAAATGTAATACTATTAAAAAAATGTTTAAAAAAAAATGAAATAATGGTTGCATAGTTTATTCAGCTTATTATCTTTTTCATCTACAAAATTTAAACATGAAACTTTGTTTAACATATCAACGTGCTACTAGAACTAACTTAATGTTGGTAGTTAGATAAAGACTTAATGGTTCACATTTTTTTTACATGATAGAAAATAGTAGTAGTAAGTTAGAATATGAGCATATGATGGACCATATTGCTTTAATGTGATTTTTCAACTTTATGGAATCGAAATTGAGTGATTTGGAGTTATGCACAAGAATTGGTAAGCATGCTTGTTTTAGTGGGCTCTGTTTCAGCTTCCAAGAAACAGTTTCTACCATTCATTATTTGTGTTGTTGCGAGTTGTTAATTTTTTTAAAATTTAATTAAATAAATTAGATTAAGATTCACGAGATAACCAATTGTAAATTATTATATTAAATTTTTATTGAATTTTAAATAAATTAAAATTTTATTTTGAAAATATATGATTACTAAACTTATTTTACAAAAAATTATTTTAAAATATAATTGAGACAATGAGACAATAATATGAATTAATCATATATAAAAAGATAAATTTTATTTAAAATAAAAATGTATACTTGTAAAATGAAAATATCACTGATAATTAGTTTTGTAAATTTAAATAAGTATAAAATGATTTTTATTTTGTTTGATTCTCATGCATTTTTAATAATTATATTTGATTTATTAAATTAATTTTAAGTTGTTAAAGGTGTATATTTATTCTTAATGTAAAATAAAACTAAAAGATTATTTGTAATTATTATCAAGCAAAATTTTATTAGCTTAATAATATTTATATATATTTTTGTCAAATTTTAGTTGCTAGTTGCTATAATAGCTTAATTTATTTTTAAATATTTATTTTAATTTTATTAAGCAATTACAGAAATTTATCTATAAATTTATATTACAATAATTTATTATGAAATATAATTGAGACAATGATATGAATTAATTACATATAAAAAGATATATTTTATTTGAAAATAAAATATAGGTTTGTTTTTAGTGTGTTGTTTTTGGTTGTTTTGATTTAGTGGTTGTATAGTGAGAAATTGCCTTATATAAATTATTTTTGAATTAATATATCATTTGATTTAAAAAATATAAATTTATAAATTGAGAATGATATTCGTAATTAATTTTTCAAATTTAAATAACTATAAAATAATTTTTATTTTATTTTGATTATTATGTTTTTTATTAGTTATATTTGATTTAGATATAATTTTAAGTTGTTAAAGTTGTGAAAATATAAAATGAAAAATACATTTTAATTAAAAATAAAATACATACTTGTAAATTGAGAATGATATTCATAATTAATTTTATAAATTTAAATAAATATAAAATAATTTTTGTTTTGTTTTAACTATCATGTCTTTTTAGTAATTATCTTTAATTTAAATATTTAATTTTAAATTGTTAAAGTTGTGAATTTATAAAATAAAAAATTTATTTTAAATTATTTTTAAATAAAAATTTATTAGTTTTATAAAATTTATATATATTTTCATCAAACTTTAATCATCTAATAAATAAAGATTTGAAGTTGTTATAGAAACTTTATTATTATTTTTATATAATTATTTTAAATTTATTAATGAGTTTGTAAAAACCTATATGATTTTAGTGTTGATATCAATTGAATTGAAATGTGAGATATTTATGAAAATAATATATTTATTTAAGTTAGTAGATAAATGGTAGATTAATATATCTTTGATTATAACTATTTTGAGATTTATTTTAAGTGTTCATTTTGTTTATGATTTTAAAAAATATATAATTATAATTTTAGTGTTTAGAATTTTAGATTCACATATCTATTTTAAAATTGGAATTTAGGAACATATAAATAGTTTATCTTTTTAGGTTATTTTAGTTAAAAAATAAAAATTTATTTTTTATCTTTTTCAAAGTTTTGAACTCATGATTTTTAATAAAAAATTGAATTTATCTATTTAAACAGTAAAAATAAGATTTTGAATGTAGCACATAAGACTATGTAGTAATGTGTCACAAAAATAATAGAATTTTGATAACAGATATAATCCACTGTTTTAAATTTAATATATTATATAAATAGTACTACTAACAAAGTCATATCCTCATGGGAAGTTGATCAAAGTGCTTTTTTTATTAACTTCCACGTCTGACCACCGGCATTGTGCAGTTCATCAAGACGAATGTGTTTGTTTCATGCTTCTTTCATTTCTTTATTTTTTTATTTTTTTAACTGAAAGGATGATTGTAGTTGGATTCAATGAATTCATGATATGATTGAATGTTTGGTTTACTTTTTGTTAGATATAAAAGTGATTCTTAAAATGTACTGTAATTTTTCTTTTTTTTGACATCAACACAAACACAATGTCACTTTGGTCATAAAGGTTGAGCTGTTTATACTCAACTTCAGTCGGGAGAACTTAAAAAATATAAAACACACTTGTTAATGTTTTTTTTTCTAATAATTATATTTCTCAATTTTTTTTTCTTTCAAATAACTATATTTTAAAATTTTTTATCAAATTAATCATTTTTCAAATAAAAAAAATTCGTGACACAAATGAGTAATCATTATATGTAGCGCATGCATGTTTTTTAGAAAGGAGGCGCCACACTACATGACTTATCATCCTCTTTAAAGTCATGCAATGTAGCGCATGCATGTATGTTTAGAGAGAATGCGCTACCTAATGTGGCTTGATAGTGTTATTTATTAATTTTTTAAAATAAAAATAAAAGTAACTAAAAATATTTTATATTAATATTTTATATTACACAACGCATGGATATATATTTTTTTGGACGGCCCCTCAACCTAAGCGGGTCTCAGTATGACATAAACGGTCCTGCCTTTGCCTCACCCCTTGTCTCACTCCTCTCTGTTGATTTTCCTAAGGTGTTTGGGATCTGTTATGACTCGCTTGATTATGAGGTGTTTGATGTGATGGTCCTGGTACATCAGGATCATACATCTCACCGTTCATTTCACCCCACTGTGTTGTGCTTCCAAAGAGATCGGTGCCCATGTTGTTGAAGTTTGGTCTTGTTGGTTGGGATATGTGTGGGTGGGGTGGTTGATAGTATTGGGATGTTGAATCGTGATGGAAACGAAGCAGCGGTTCTTGTGGTGTATGAAATCTGTATGATGGTTGGGTACTTCGATAGTGTGATGTTTGAATGTATGTAGGTTGAGTAGTATGGTAGGAAGGAGATGTATCGTATGTGTCTTAGGTGTTATGGTAGGATGAGAATGGTGCATATTGTTGGTGGTGGATTGGGTCATGCTCTTGGTATTGTGTTTGTGTGTGTGGCATGAATTGATGACGAGTTTGGTTGAATGTGGTGGTGTATGGTTGTTGGGTTTGAGTGGGTTGACATTGTAGTTGGGTTTGGTATTGTTGAGGGATTGGTTGTTGGGTTTGGTATTATCGAGGGGTTGGTTGTTGGGTATATGTTGCAGCTCTTTGGCGTGGGTCGATCAAATATGTCTCTTAAGACATAAACAAATTTGTTGAAACCGATGTGTACCATCTCAAATATTGGAGCGTCGATTTTAAGTCATCTTGCAAGATCGGCTCCCTTAGGACCAATTCACATCGATGCCTCCATTGACGACATTGATTTTTAGCGAAGTCTCACAAATCGTTAAATCTCCATTGGTCGTCAACTCTAAGTAGATGCCATTGTCCCAAACATGTAAGGGGTCAGAGATACCTTGTTGCATGTTGAACTGTAGCTTCACACGATCACTGTGGTGCATCTCCATAGTAGTGAACTTGATGAGTGCTGTTTTTGTAGTCCAGACTTCAGCATCAGTTGGAT